TATATATATATATATATATGTGTGTAAGCGTATGCGAAGATTGCATACTCTTTAAGGAATGTAACTATTTTTTTCGTTGTTATTATATTACACTGTAAGATATCTTTTGATATGTATATTGTGTGTATTCATTGTCAATGACACTTTGGTTTCCATTATAATTCATTTTATTGTATATATATATATATATGTGTGTAAGCGTATGCGAAGATTGCATACTCTTTAAGGAATGTAACTATTTTTTTCCATGTTATTATATTACACTGTAAGATATCTTTTGATATGTATATTGTGTGTATTCATTGTCAATGACACTTTGGTTTCCATTATAATTGTACATTTTATTGTTTCTTATAACTTTTGCAATTATCCTGCTTATTTAATAATGTTTCACATCTAGAAACGTGGAACATTATGTTATGTACATCATACTTTACGTATTCGCAGAAATTTATCCGCGTAGTCAACATAATTTTTTAATGATCCAACCAGTATAACATACAAAATTCAGCAGTTACTGCCAGATTTCTACTTCATATTCGGATACATGGTAACATTCCAAAAGCGGAAACGCATTTAAAGCTCGATTACACGAATACGGGATGCCAGATATTCGTGGGACTGCGAGAAAGATAAATCTTTTCTGCCCGAAACACAGTAATGGAAAAACACTCGGTGGCATCGGTTGTCATCCTTCCAACCGATAGTGGTGTTGCCAACGCGGTTGCATAGGTCAGGTTAGAGTAGATATGCGAAGGAAAATAACAATCCGTCTTTCGTCGAGTAGAAATGCGCACGTTTGTACACTGCCGTTGAAAATAGGTCAGTCGAAGTCGAATTATTTGGCGCGATTTTGTCTGTTTCCGCGGTGGGCGATGCTCTTGCAACGAAAACACGACGATTCTCGACCGGATGATAATCCACGACGTTTCCAATTCCGGAAAGTTGCCAAGGTATCCTTCTGTCTACAAGAGTCGCATCCCGATATGAGATATCACAGATCGATAAGTAGCGCTCTCCGCGAAATTCTTGAACGGATATTTTCGACAATAGCCATTAATTACTCGCGATATAATCGCATAACTGCTAGTATAGATTCCCCGTAATACTGATTGAAGTAGAACCAAATTTATGGCATACTACCGATAATCATTGCATGTGAATGTCTTGCTCTCTATTTTCAGAATAAAATAATATATAGCAACGGAAAATTAAAAATATCCTATATATATATATATATA